TATGTATGTAGCTGTTAACAATTTGTTGCGCTTGACTGTGGTGTTGTTGCTCTGCTCTCACGCATGGAACGCAAGCAGAACTCATATGGTAGATGTGCGCTTGTGTGCGTATAGAAAGCTTTTCACCACGACTTTGAGCAGAGCTTTGAAAGTGTGTACAGAGCGTAACAAGCACGCTGAGTAAAGCTCGTTTACAAAACGCCCGTCTTCTGTATTTATTTAATATGCAAATCACGTAAGCTTAAAAGCGTAAGCATTATACGTTAATTTTAAAGCAATATTCACTGTTTCCGCGTTTTTAAACATATTCTCACTTGTATTTTATAATCTGCTAAAATATTAATATTTCGAAATACAAAACAATAATTATTATTTATATTTGCCAATTATTGATAGGAATTCCATATGATTTTCCAGATACTCGTAAACGAATTGGGGAAAAATTAAGTTCATATTACGTATTGCTGGCCAATAGAGATTCGATAAGTCATCCTTCTCTGTATGCCAATACTCTGGATAGGTATGGGGCACTATATGCATAGCTGCCACGCCTAAAATCAAAATTAAATTAGCTAGACATTAAATAAATGCGAATTATACGAACCTTCGCTTATAAAGGGATAATGATCGTCTTCAATGTCGCTATCATGATCTTTGATCTTATGGAACAGCTGATGGCACTCGGTGAGCTTGCTTGCCTCGCGCAGCTCCACTTCGATATCTGCCAGGCGCTCATGCAATGTATACGTATTATTAAAGTGGCTCAGAAAGATATGATTCGGTGCGCCAATCAGGTTTAATGAAATGATTAACTCCTGGGGGGAAATTAATATGGCGATCAGCCATAATTCATAGATGACATACGATAATAAGATCAACATACAATGCTTTGTAAGGGCACAGTTTCGACCGAAGCAAAGTGCTGCGAACCGTTAAGAGAATTGAAATCTTCTTTGACGTCCAGCATGGACTCGTGACCATCAAAGAATACTAACTAAAATGAGAATGAAAATGTATATATCTGATATAGACAGATTTATTGATAGACTAACCATCAAGCCAATATCCTGTTTATTGGAGAAACGCTCACGAAGATACGCATTTAACGCCTTCGCCACGTGGAGAAGTATTGCACAGGAAACGGCGCCATCTGTGGCGCCCACATAATCTGGAGAGTTTTCCAAAAACTTTGAGTCGTAATGACAGCTGAGCAATAGGAAACTTGGGGCATCCACATTCATAATACCCAAAATATTTGTAAATTTTCGTTGGTCAAAGAGCTCGTCGCGCAACGCAATAAACCCAAGTGAAGTCAGCTGGTCCATGAGAAAATTGGCCACTTCCTCGTGACCCGGGCTGCCCGTCCAGCGCGGTTTCAGAATGTTGGCCAGCGTATGATTGAAATATAATTCATCGTATCTAATCGTAAACGAGCGCTGCCAGAACCACAGCAAAACTACGAGGCTGAGCACCAGCAGAATAATGCTAACTCTCGACGCGACGCGAGCTATGCGAAACATTGCTAAAGACTAAACGTGCCCGGAGTGCTTAATGCGAGTCTCAATTCAGTACCAGGAAACTCTCCAATATGGAGTGCAGCGAGTGCATTAGCTACGGATTGGGAAAGAAGTGTGACTAAAGCAATTTTATTATACAGACGCACAAGACATTTTTATTTAATCTTAATATACCAAAGAAGAATTCTATAAAATGTACTACAAATGCAACAAATGCGGCCTGCACTACTTGGGTTTCTGATGGGCGGACTCGTGCCTTAGATTCTGTACCCGTTGCAAAATCTCTGTGCCTTGACTGAGGAGCGATTGCCCTCGGGCCACTGACATAAAGCTGGTGGCGAATGGCCTGCGTGACTTGACGACGGCCACGCGATGCAGCTTCTTGGATCGGAACTCGTCGCGGGACAGAGTGCGCAGGCTGGAGCCCTCGTGCCAGGTGTGCTTGGTGTGGGCGATGCGGCGCCTGCCTTTACCGCAGCACGGCTGATGCCACATGCGCTGATCCTTGCCAAAGTTATTGCCATCGCTAAGCGTCTGGGGCAGATCCTCGTACAGAGTCTCTGGCAGGAAGAGGCAGATGATGCCACCCACAATGCCCAAGCCGCCCAGGGTGTTCAGCATGAGGGAGAGCGAGAGGTGGGACAGATAGATAACCGGAGGCGAGAGCAGCATGGCAGCAAATCCGAGGGTATGGATAAGCGATATACCCTGTGCCCGCACCACCGTCGGCAGCACCTCGGCGGCCCACTGCAGGCCGATGTTGTAGCAGACATTGGCAAAGAAGCGACCCGCCAGAGCGGCCACCAGAGTGTGCGTGGGATGGGACAGATTGGCGCCCACCAGGCTAAACAGCCCGCTCAGCGTGGTGAAGGTGAAGGCGCACCAGCGACGCCCGAAGCGATCCAGCGTGACGATGACGAGCAGGTCGCCCGGCAGCTCAGTGGCGCAGGCTATGGTAAACACCACGGCCACATTCTCCTTGTCCAGCACCGAGGCGGCTCGGACATGGCCATCGTATAGCAGAGACATGATCATCCAGATCAGGCACAGGAACACCATGTAGCGCGCCAGGCGCGGACGCTTGAAGATCGAGCACACCGTGAAGTGGCGGCCCTCGAACTCCTCCTTGTAGAACAGTTCGCAGCTCTCCCGGAATCGCTTCCAATAAACTGGGGGCACGACGCGCTTGTTCCTCGCTGCCACACGCTTGAGTATATCGATGGCATCGTCGATCTTGCCCCGCGACACCAGCCAGCGCGCCGACTCGGGCAGGCAGCAGAACGAAACGAGTCCAAAGGCCAGCGGAATGCAGCCATACAGAGCAAACGGGCGCCAGCTGTGCAGATATATGGCTATCCAGGGTATGAGCATGGTGAACGGCGAGTAGAACATGGCCAGCGACATATTGGCCACAAAGGTGCGGTACTTGGGGCCCACGTACTCGAGCACTGTTCAAAATGGAAGGCGCATGAGCGGGCAAAGGTAAGCGGAGAGAAAGCTATGCAGTGATTATACTCAGTATATAGATCATGGTGAAGCAAGTGTCGTAGGCGGCGCCCACAACCAGCCGTGTGAACGCAAAGCTCCAAAAGTTCTTGGTCATGCCCGTGAAGAGGCTGCCGAAGAATGCCAGGGAGCAGCTGCTGACCAGCGCCGCCAGGCGTCCGCAGTGATCCGCAAAGTGGCCGTAGGCCAGGCAGCCCAGCACCGAGCCGAGGAAGAAGATCATTTGGGCATAGGTGGCATAGAAGTCATTCTTGCACACCCAGCCAAACTCGATGTTGGCCGTGTAGAATGCCTCGCTCTTGCTGAAGACATAGCCCTCGCGGCAGGGTATTCTGGGCAGGGAGCTGTTCATGAACTGGGTGCGATTCTTGGCCCTGTAGATGGCCGTATAGTTGGTGTCGTACATTTCGCAGCGACTGTAGCTGCCGTCCTTCAGCTTGGGTATGGACAGCTCCATGCGCTCCTGCTCACTCTCAATCAGAGTCAGATCATGCACAAAGCAATAGTATTTCTCGGGCGTAAGCGTCATAAAGATCTGGCTGAGATACACATAGGCGGAGATGAAGCAAAACGGTATCATTAACAGGAACAAGACTTTCTGGAAGCACCCAAATTCGCCAATTTCCGGCAAAAGGTCATCAAAATCGATGTACGTATCGATTTCCACTGCGGATGGCCTGTTTTTCTCCTCATCCGATGAGCTGCTGCTGCTATCAGAGTGGATACGAGAGTCCCGGCCATGGAAGCTGCTTGTCTGCTGAGATTTCTCCACTGACGTTCTGTGTGGCAGTCTTTCACTAGATAGGTGTATATATGTGTGTGTATATGTATGTGTCATTAATGGATTCCCATGAGTAAGACTAAACACTCACTTATTATCTCCCCTTATTGTGTCGTCTGTTGCCTGAGTTCCGAAATCCCGTTTCTGCATTTTCCTGACCATCCATAGAAAACGGAATCCGGCTCTGACAAAGCAATTATGTATCAAAGTCAAGGCGCCGCCTCCTGCTTCGATTCGAATGCTGCTCGCTTATGTGATTCATCAAGTTTCCAAGCGACTGCTCCCGTTTCCTGTCAGACGACAATCTGCGGCTTATTGACGCCATCGACGACCATTAGTCCGTTTCATGGATGGTCGGAGTCCGAGTGAATTGTCGACTCATTGCAGCATCGTTTAATTACCCAAACAAAACAGCTCGGCCCACTTCTAATCAAAGTGAGTGCAAAAAGCAAACACTGCAAATTTGTGGCTTACAATTAAATTAAATGAAGGCACAGCCAGGGAGCCAGCTGGGGCCATTGCGTATACGCCGCAGGGGCCCCATGGACCACCCGTTGCATGCAAATCGTCCCATTGCCAATGCCAATGCGAAAAGCCGCCTGTTGCTATTCGGGCCAGGGCGCATGCGTTGCCCATCAGCAGCAGCAGCAGCAGCAGCAGCAGCAGCAGCAGCAGCAGGAGCAGGGGCGGGGGACGTTGTTTCGAACATCCATTCATAAAATGCCGCACGCTGTTCGAAACTGTGGCCATGTTTCGCAATGCGAATCAGTTCTGGCGCGTCTTTCAAAGCGATTGGTTGCCGGAGTCGGATCACACTGCAGTCGCGGCAACTCACGGCGTGACGGGCAGAAATACGCCGCATAAATCAGTGTCATAAATCTGCGTGCGTTGTATATGAAATTAAGTGTCCGTATTTACAGATAGCGTTAAGCAGCCCAATGACAGGCCGCCAAATATCCTAGAGAGCAGCCCGAAAAAAGGCAGCCATAAAGAAGCCAGCGGCGCCCTATGGACAAACTGCCGCCCAGTGGCCCAAAAACAAGTGTCAGAAAGCAATGAATAAGTGGCGGCTGCCGTCATACAAATGAAACGCCCAGTGTACGGTATATATACATGTGCATAAATATATGAATATGTATGTATGTATTTACATATAAGTTACTGGATTAAGAGTCCCTCGCAATGGCAATACTCGAGTCCTGCTGCTTCTGGAAGAATGTGCGGCAGGGCAGCTTCGCCTGCGCCTTTTACACTCTGGTGGGTAATCAATTATGCGAGATTTTTGATTTCTTTTGCATGACAAACTTAACAAGATAAACAGATGATGAGCTTAGCTTGGCTTGCCACACGCACACACACACACACACACACACACTGACTTTAAGCCTAAAATCATGCAGAAAGTTTAGAGCCAAAAAGCAAAGTGAGAAGCTGAACGAGTGGGAGATTATCAAGTAAGCTGTAAAGTGGGGAAAGTAAGAGAAAGTTTACTTGAATTTAAGATGAAGGAAATTTAGAAGCGTAGTGAGAAGCAAAGTAGTGCAGTAAATCAAAATGTTGAGCTTGTAGTATTGAAATAAATTGCCGAAATAAAAGCAAAAGACTAATCAAAAGAGCCATGAATAAAAAGTTCATAAATTACAATAGTATATATATATTAAGCTGAACTCTAGCTAAAATCAAAGCAATATATTATATCAAATTGTCCAGCAACTAATTAGGAATGCTATATTTAAAGCTAATCAAAGATAAGTTAATAAATTACAGAATATTGTGAAACAAACTGAGCAGAACAAGTAGCAAAGTAGTGCAGTAGAACAGAATGTTAAGCTTGAAGCATTCTTATATATGTATGTATGTATCTTGTTGTTCATCCACATCCTCTTGCCAAAATCAATGCAATTAATTCGAATCGACTTGAGCATTGAGTCAAGCAGGAAACTAATTAGCAAAGCAATAAGTGCAATCAGCAGCAAAACTAGAAGTCAAACGACAAAAACAAGGCTAGAAACTGCAAATAGACAGCCAAGAGCTGAGAGCTGACTGCTGAGGCAGTCGTTGCAATAACCAATGCAAGAAATGAAGCGAGCTTGGAAACAGGTATCCAAGCGAGCATTCAAGTAAGAAACAAAGCGAGACGCAATATGAAGTATAGCAAAATGGAGCAAGTCAAGCGAGAGGCGGAAGTAATTGCGTGACAAAACGTTGAGCCGAGCGCGAGCAACTTATTGAGTCAAGCAAAGGGAACTAAGCAGGAAGCACTAGCAAAGGCGAATTACGCTGCTGCCGATGTCATGCTCGACAAAGTGTTTGAGTCCCAAAGGAATCGGGTTACGACAGATACCATAAAAGAAATGTTAAGGCAACAACTCCAGCATGCAACGAATGTCAGTCCAACAAAGTTCATTCAATCAAGGAAAAACTTTTCTCTGACAGCAAACCAAAAAAAATTGCAATAAATTTCGGTAGCAGAAATGCGTTGAAAATTGAGAATATTGGGGAATAAATAAAATACCAATTTCTGAATTTAAAAATATATATTTCTGTATAATTTTTACCTTAAAAAATATTGCAATTTTTTCTTAAAATATTTTCAGATTTACTTTGGCCTGTCCACGTTAATGTTTACGTTTTATTTGAAAGAGGAGCAGGACTTTCTGCTGGGTCGCAGCACACAGCCGTTGGGTGAGAGCATCTTGGAGAAGGGCGATGTAACTGTAGGTGAGAGCAACATCTGGGGCCAGCAGATCCGTGCCACATGCCGCATGGCTGATGTAACAAATGTTGATTGACGTAATTTGTGATTGCAGTAACTGTGATATTCAACATTTTGTTTTTGTTTTGCTCGATGCTGATGGTGTTGGCGTCCCTTTTGCTGATTGCGGGACTGCGGAATGTGAGTATTGGGCGGTTGCAAGTGGGTGCTTGACATTGTCTAACAGCCGCTCACCTGTTTGTCTCTCATGCAGAACAAACGCCAGTTGCTGTTGCCCTGGATTGGTCTGATGCTCTGCGATTTGCTTATTGAGATCGCCCATCTGGTCCATCTGACATTGTCGCGCCGCGTGGTGTTCGATCCCATTGTCGGTTTCATATTCACGCTAGACTTCTTCATACTCTGCCTGAATGTGAGTGACGAAGCACAATGAAAATATCAACTTAACCTAATTAGCCCCAAATTTGATTCAACTTCAAGCTCTACTGTTTGCTCTGTGTGATATCCCAGTATCAGACCTACCGCACGCAGCGCGCCGAGCAACAACAGCATCCTGCGATGTCGGTGAGTCCTTGCGGAAGTATGTAATGGCAAATGCAATCAAATAGCTCGGTTTCCATTCAACTAGCCCACTGTGGTCTTTACGGAGCCCGAGAAGCTGGGCAAAACAAAGCGGCAGCTGTTAACGGCTTCAAGTGCTGCCAAAGGGAAAAGGCATTCGCATCGCCTGCTGGCTGCGAGTCCTTTGATCACGTCACAGCGGCCAACCAACTTTTCCACCATTACCGAAGAGGAGGAGCAGCAGCAGCAGCAGCAGCAGCAGAGCAAGGGTGCTGCAACCCCAGCAGCAGCAGCAGCAGCAGGAGGTATTTTAGGGTCAAAGGACACCTAAGGATATTAACAATGCTTCTGCTCGTTTCAGCTGTCAATGGCCATAACGATAACGGTCACATTCCGGAGCAGTCGCCATCCCAATCCAGCGAAGCGGCAGAGCCTTCCAATGTCAATATACCAATTATTACTCTAGATCCCAATTCGCTGCAATGATGCAGCTGCTCCGCTCGACAACAACATGGGGCACTATGAAGTGGACCCACACACACACACACACACGTAGAGTTGACCTATTTTTACATGTACATATGCTTAAAGTAAAATTCTCATAAATGCCATCAAGCACAAGTGTCGTCTCTTCTCTCATGTTGCCGTCGTCCACAGAAATTGTTCGCAGCATCCGCAGCATGAATTTCCTGTGCCCCGCAGCCAGCACAGCCGCGAGTCCACTTGTTGTATAACTCTTAAACTACAGCGACTTGTGATTGACAATGATTAACGTGCAGCACGAGTTCCGTTCATTAATACTGTGGAGGGCTGAAAGTGATTTGTGTACGGGTGCTTTGTGTAACAGGTAAAAGAAATCTCAAATGACATCTGTCAGCCTACATAACATATATATGTATAGCCGTATACTCTTTAATGCTTAAAGACATTCCTCTTCAGGGCCATGGCCTAGCCTTATTATTAACATGCAATTGTTTGATGTTGATTTCCAGAGAGATCAAATCAAATCAAAGAGATGGAGCCGTCGATATTAAGGGTAAACATTTGTGTGAATGGGTCGGCTTACTTTATTTATTTTTTCACACACATTTATACAAATTTATCAAACTTAATCAAAAGCTCCACACAGGAAGTTTTGTCCCCATAGTGACACCCAGCTCATGTGACTGTGCCCGAAGGGTAGAGCCTGTTGTGCCAGCTAACAAGTTGCCCTTCAAACAGTAGAAGGGTAATTGAATACCTTACTCAAATAAAGAAAGAGCAAAAAGCAATAAAACAATTTATGGAAGAAGAACATATGTTAGAGCATATAAATAAAAGAGTAATGCATCAAGAGAGACAGACGCAAAACCATTTCGAATTTGTATATAAAAGCAGAGAAATGTTAGCATTGTCCCAGGTCAAGTGCGACGCGAAAACAATTTAAATTTGATTAAGTTGAACGCAGCATTAACTAATTAAAATTGAAACAGCTTAAGCCGGACTCTAGTGCCTGACAAATTGCTGGACGAGCGCGAAAAGTTCGTGTTTGCTAGCCGGGAGCAGCAGCGAAAGGTAGGGTCTCATTTAATGTCACTTAATCACTCTTTTAGATTGGATCTCTTAATTACAAGCTGCGGAGCGCATTGCGTGTATAGCTGCAGGACCTGAAGCGACCGCTGAACTGTGAATGGCAGAGCAAAAACTGCAGCAAGTATAGTGAGTGTGTGTATGTGTGTGTGTGTGTGTGCGAGTGTTTGTGTGGTTGTTATCAATGCTGCAACAGTTGCCACAGCTGCGCACAGGTATAAAGCATCAGCTCTAGCATTTGCCACACTGCAAACATAGTACCAAAGCGAGCCACTCAACCACTCTAAAGCAGACAGACAAACAGACAGACAGACAGCCAGAGAGAGAGAGAGAGAGAGAGAGAGAGAGAGTCATATTGCAGCACTTATGGCAGCTGACCCTTATTAGCTGCTGAAAAGTCGAAATTTTGGCTGAGCAAATATCAACACAGCTGTCGGACTTAGCCCAGCAAACGGAAAGATAATGACTCCACGACAAGATGTCACAAAAGCCTCGGAAAGTGGATTTATAATGGATTTCGCTTTTATTTTATGTATTTATTTTTATTTAAGTGCAACTGTGAAACGTGCTGCAGGACATATTCTATACAAATAAAGAAAGAACAAGAGAGCGAGAGTGAGAGAGAGAGGGGGAGGGAAGGTTGGGCAAACTTAATCCGAATTAAATTTCAACAGTGCAAACACGTTTGACCCACAGCAATTCTCTGTTAACATGAAAAGCATTTTTCGCTGGAAAAACATCCTTTCACCTCACACTCTCCTGCAGGTATCCAATTAATGGGTTTATATTTGCGGGCATCATCCAGCTTAGCTCAAACTAAGTCTGTTGCCACTAATTTATATCCCTTGCTGAGCACAAAAAATGTCCCTAGTTGCTATTTTAAGCACACTATTTAACTATTTTCCTTTGCATAGAAAAAGTTTTCATTTTATCTGATGAAAAGCAAAATGCTGTAATTAGCGGTTTTTATTTTATTTTTATTTTTTTGTTTTTTATTCTTACCGTGGGCTGCAGGTGTTTCAGCAGTTGCAATAACTAACTCAACTATCTGTAGCTCATCCGATTAACAGGTAGAAAATATGTTCAACTAAGTTTTTAATTGAATTCAAACTTTTTTAATTTCAATTGTGGTGCTTAGCCTTGCTATCCATTTTTAATTTGCATATTAATTTTTTTTTAATTTTATATATACATATATATATATATTTTAGTTCCAAGAATTTATGAAAAGTTTTTTTATATATATATTTTGAACTTTTAGGGTTTAGAGAAAAGTTTAGTTGTATTTTCTATATAATTAAATTATTTAATATCAAAATATAAATATACAAAAAACCTATATACAATGAATATCCTATATATATATACAAATCTTTTTCACTTTGCTCGCTAAACTGATATCAAATCATTTTAATGCACAAAGTATCCCTTAACCAAAGCGAAGGCAGCTGCAGCACTCCAAGCACCCCAAACATATCAAACATAAAACTTTTACAACTGGCATTATTTCACATTATTTCTGGAATTTAATTGCAATTAAAAAGCTGCTCCGTTTCTAACAAATTATTGCGGAATTTCGCAATGAACTAATATTTATGCGTATCTGTTGATGTGTGTAATAAATATGCATTAAAAACTTCAGAGTCATGCATAACTTTGAAAACCATCAGAGAAAAAGAGAGAGAGAGGGCTGACTGAGAGAGCAACAGAGATTTTGATTGCCTCTGTCAATGCTGGCTGCGGTTGCCATTGCAATTCCCTTTGCTCGTCCATTTGCATAACAAAGTTTTGTGCTCGCAGCTTTTGTTGTGATTGCCCAACTGACGCCCACAGCCACGCCCACGCCCCATACGGCAGCTGCAATGTAATTAGCAGAGAGTAGAAATCTACTTGCACCCCAGCATCACGTGTGGCGCAACGCAATGTCTAATTGCGGTTTCAGACATTCTATGGCTATTATGGGTTCTCCATTAGTGTTGAAGTGCGAACGGTTATTACAATAATTGCCCGGCAGCAGACAGCTGAACTAGTATTTAGCTGAGAATTCAATTACCACACAAGTGAATTGAAGCATCCCTCACACACACACACACGCACAAGTTTGTGGTCTTGCGTTTAAGCGTGAGCCAAAACAAAGCCTGACATGCCACTTGTGGCACGAAACATTTTACGCATTTCAAATAACAACAGAAAAGACACAAACAAAAACAACAACAAAACTGTCACAAAATGTTTGTGTGTCGTGGCAATGGCAGCTGCACATAAATAACAAAGTCGCAAAGGCACTTATATAAGTTGATTAAATTCTCTCTCTCTCTCTCACTCACACTCACTGTGTGTGTGTGTGTGTGTGTGTGTGCGTTTGTGCATGAATACTTGAATGAAATGGCACAAGTTGTCATCAAATTTCGTTGAGAGGCTCTTTAAATTGGCCAACACATATCAAAATATTTACAAATTTAAGCCGCTAGGCTGGGAGTCCTCATCGACTGCTGCGGCTGCTGTTGCTGCCGCTTGATTTATCGTGCATGACAACTGAGCCATGTTATATTTTAAGCCATAGATATTCAGCCATGCTCTGTTTGTCACTTGCCTTTAATTGCGTATACGCAGCGTGTGGCAGGCAACAAGCGGCGCACGCCCCACTCCCAACTCCCAGCTCCCAGCTCAAGTTTACAGTACTTGGACATTTACGAGCCTCTCAGATTTACGAGCATGTATATTAAGGCATCTTTATATACACATATAGTCATATCTATATCCACATATACACACATACATATTTATATAATGCCACAGATGCCAGGCACTCACTCAATGGGAAAATTAGCATATAAAACGAGACAGATTAGCACATCAGGCACACGAATCCAGTTTGCAAATGAATTGAGAGCGACTAAAGCGATGTGCGCTATGAATTATGAATTATGCGCGCCCACATGTATATTGGGGCATGCAACCATTTAGGCTTCCCACACATATTACAGAATATGTCTAATCAATATTCGGGTTCTGTTAACCGGAAAACATACATATGTGGGCATTGGGATTATGAACAGAGAATGAGCTGGACTATAGCTGCATAGATGAGCATTAATATATATATTACTATATAGAGATTAAGTCAAATACAATATGAAATCAAATCTTAGATATGAAAAATAGTTTCACAAAAGTTTCACACACAAACTAAAGACTTTTGCTGTCTGAGAATAAGACAAAGATTCATCTTAGAGCTAACGCTTTATCAAGCTTTTCTTTTATATACTCTATTTGCCATTCAAACAATAGAAAGTAGCAATGGAATAATTCAAAAGCTATGCAAATTTAACTCCAAATGCGCTGCGCTTCACAGAAAATAAAAGTTTTAAATGTTAATTAAATAGATAAACAAGCAAATGCTGACTGGGGTTAAGCTAAACCGATTACAATTACGTGGAGTGAGGAGCAATAAAATCTGTGTGCTTTTTAGTACCAATTAAGAATAATAAACTAAAAACAGCTTAGATAATTACGTGCGGCATAAAAACAAAAAGGAACAGCTCAATAAAATCAGCTGAGCACGTGGCGAAATTTTGAGCTGTTTGGCCAGCAGCAAACACATAATTCAAAAGCTAGACTAATTATGCTCCAGCGACTTGGGTTTAATCAGACTTTCGGCCCGAGGCTGGGCAGACATCGGCAATAAATTGCAGAGGCAAATTATGTGGGTAAGTGAAAGCATCAATCTTGGCGGGCAAGGCCGCACGGCCCGGCTGAGTGACACCTTGTTAACGCTGAAAAATGTGTGTGCTGGGTAAATACATATGTATGTTATTGAGTTCACGCGTTAAGCCGGGTCAAAAACAAAAGCCTGTTAATACCCATTTCTCAGAACATTACGCAGCATTACTTGCAAACGAGCAATCATTTAATTTCTCTTTAATTTCCCTTTTTTCAGCCTTTCAGCCAGGAAATGTGTAAAATAACATACTCGTATTGCTGCGCACTCAAGCAGAGATCTCATGCATAGCAAACAATGTGATTAGCCAAACAACGTAATTTCTGAAACA